GGCCCCCCCCCCCAGCCACTTTAAAGAGAGATTTGGGTCCCTAGAGAGCAGGTGCTTGGCCTTCACTTCAGCATCAGCACAAACACACAGACACCATCCAGTTATTCCCTACCCAGGTTAACTTATGCAGTGCCAGAAAGCAAGAACTGTACAACAGATCCTCAAAACAGGGAAAGGGCTTGGCCACTGAGGTTGCTGAAGCTAAACGTGAAGTATGGAAGTCACAGAGGCACAAGTTATCTGATACTTCCTTGTCCGTCTTCTCCTCCCTGGGCACACATTCCACCTACCAAATTCATTAGCTCCACAGTTCACTTCCTTGATGTTTATATTGTCCAAAAAAAAAAAAATATCCAGTGAAATTCAGACAGCAGGAGAAATTTGGCTTCAACAAAGGATCAGGGAGACTGGGGGAAAAAAAAAAAGTGGCATAGCACACTCCATATTGAAAGAGGAGAAATCTGAGTGCAGCAAAGCCTCGGGATGCCTGCCTGCTGCTTGGGTCCTTTTCCTTAACAATACACCTGAAGCAGAGGTGCCCCAGAGGAGTCAGTCTCTGTGTCTTGGAAAGAGGAATCTCTGCTTGTTGGAGAGCCTTGGAGAGGAAAGAGAAGAGACGGCGACATTAGACAACGTGAACTATAGCAGCCGAGTGCCTGGCAGTTAGGTAAGCAACTGCCACAAAAGGCTTTGTGTATCATGAGGGAGGAGAAAGCCACACAAAGCCCACAGGCAGGGAACAACCCTACCTGTATTGTAGCCATCTTCTAGGAGAGATCTGTTATTATGCAGGAGAAAACTTGTCTTTTAGCCCTGGGCTGCTCTTTGGAGTGGAGCATGCATGCCGCGGGGATCAGAGCTCAGGGGACAGCCCGTCACTCTGCTTCCCTTTTGCACAGTTCCTTTTGTTCCCAGTATAACCCAGCTGTGACCTTTGCCAGTCACACCCCAAATACAGCCCCAAATTTTGTCAAGATACCCAGAGACTGAAAGCTCTCAGGCCAAGTACGGTGCACGGACAGAGAGCACTCCATACTTGGCTTTCATTCTCTTTCAGAAGGACCCGCCAACCAGGGCAGACCCCAGCCTTCCAAGCTCCCTTCACTCCCAAAGCTCAAGAGAACTATACCCCTCACGGTAACCTAAGAGGCAGGTGTCAGCTCAGCCTTTGCAGATGGTGAAAACTGAAGGCGTACATAACATGAGAGGTTCAGGGCGTTCCCCTCACTCCTGTGATGCCGCTGCAGCTAAGACCCCCGACCAGGTACGTTACCTGCGCTGCTATGCCGCCTCATATTCCTGGCTATCACATCTGCTGGTGTTTCTTCTGATATTTGCACAGCCAAATCTGGAATGAAAACCAAGAGGGCCTGAGACAGGAAAGGATGGGCAGCTCTGACTCAAGAGTCAAGATCCCTGCCAGGGAATGCACAGGGCTCTCCTTCAGAAGGCACCACCCTCAGGTAATAGGAGAGGTAGAGGCTGATTCTTCAGATTGCTTCCACCATTGTCTTGGTAATCTGAGCTTTACAGTCCCTAAATAGCAGGAAGCAACAGCAGCCTTACTGCTAAGCTGGGAAGCACCACAGCCAGCCGCTTTCCTCCGTTACTTCTGGATGTCTCCTTGCCCCCCATACTCAGCTTTTCAAGGTCTTTCTACAACAAACTCTCTTAGAACCTGTTCTGGAGGTCAGTCACTTCAGGCTGCTCCAGACAAGGAGGAGAGCATCCCTGAAAGAGCCACGAGGCACTTACGCTGTGGCAACAGCCCTTCCCTCCTCTTCGCAGGGATATTTACTGGCTGCTCCTCACCCCACCGTGTAGAGGAAGTCTCAGCTCCAAAGAGCCACTCTGTCACGGTAGTCTAAGGGTGGCATTAGCAAAAAGCACTGGTAGAACACGAGGGAGAGAGCCAGCTTAGTAACTGGACATCCTCTGGCACAAGCCAGCTCGTCTGGTCATACCAGTTAAGTTTGACTCACGGCCTTTCTGCCTAGCTTAGAGGTGCGGAGGAAAGCCAGAATCATTGCAGTAGCAGCAGAATAAGCCCTCACATTACTCAGCGCAAACTTCACTGACAGTGAAAGATATTATCAAGAAAGCCACAAGACAGTGACTGGTGAGAAGCAGAGGTCTCCAGTAATACATAAGGGCCTCCATTCGCACATCCCAGGAAAATAAGCCCAGCCTGAAGACAGACATCAGCTTTCAACCCTGCTCCATTGCCACATCTCCATGGCTTTGATAAAATAACCCTCTCGTGTTGAAGCAGTAACACCAAGGAACCCGCACGTACCGTCTTGGCTGATGACCATGGACTCCAGCATCGTTTCATTACCGCTGTCTGGTGCGTTGCCTCTGCTGGACTTCTCCTCGTGGCTCTGGCTGGCTGGGATAGAAATATGGGGCCGGACCCTGCTTTTCCGAGTGCTGATGCGTATGATGCCTCGGACCAGCCTGCATTCAGCATCCTGCTCGTCCAGGTTGTAGTCCTGAGTTATGCTATTGATGAGGTCCGAGATCTTGTTGGTCTTCTCCAGGAAGACAGTGTCTGACGTGCACTTGGCCAGCTCATCGATCTGGTGGACGCTGAAGAGCTCCGTCAGTTTCTTGAATATCAGGACGTCGATCTCCCTGCTGGACATGGAGCCGTTCAGCTCGCTGATGTCCAGGTCGGACTCGTGGAAGGAATAATACTCCTCCGAACTCCGGTGGCTGCTGGGGAGCGGTGGCTTTTCTATGCTGTTCCTGAAGGGCTTCTCTGGCAGCAGCTCTTTGCAGCATGAATCCGATTCCAGGTGGTGGCTGGGGCTCCTGTTTTGATAGAAAGGAATGCCCTTTAGTTTCACATCTGGGTAACTGAAACTGCTACCCATGCTGGACTTTTTGATCTGGTTCCCATTCTTCTCAGTGGGAGAGACGTTGGCGGGGCTGTTTGGCAGTCGCCCGTTATAATCGCCATTCTTTCCGTCATCAGTGGAGGTCTCGGTGGGCCCCGTATAGGGGATACAGACACTGCAGTCCTGAAAGCAACCCCCACAGGTCACTATACAACAGAAAACAGCCTTGTATGTGTTCCAGGCCTGAGACAGAGAGGAACAGCAGAAGCTCTGGTTTGGGGGAGCTTCTGCTGTACCAGAAATAAAGGTAATTGTTTCTGCCTCTCTCCCGTTAGAGTCTTTGAGGTCAGCTTTGCGACCTTTCCTATCCCGCATCTGCTGGGCTCTGGTGCGGCTCTGTTTGATTTCAGGCGTAGAGCCGCTGAACACCTCCAAACTGACATCCGTCTCCTTGGATGGTCTGGTCCGCAGGGGCACAGCCTCCTGGTAGGACTGGTTCAGCTGGCGGTGGCTGTTCAGGTCGTGGGGGAGTCCTGTTCTCCTGCCCAGCATGGCTCACCGCTCAGGCACCTGGAGAACAAGAAGGTCTCAAGTCAAGCATTTGTCACCAGTCTCACCTTAGTGAGCTGTTGATCAACAGAGAAGGACCTAGCATTCAAACTCAGTGATTCTTGAGCTCAAATTCAGTATTTCAATTGTTTACAGAAATATTTTCCATTAGGACTCATGCTGTTCTCACTTGTCACATAGAGAGGGAATCCAGCCTGCTTTTCAGGGTTCTCCGACTACTCTAGCTTTGCTGCTTCCTTTCAGTAGATGCTTGAATCAGAAAAGATGTTTTAAAAGGACTATTTTTAAGACCTCAAAATCCCTGTAACCTTCAGAAGAGGTTTCCTCAACGCAGCTGGAAGACGAGTCAGGCTCGAGAGCAATAAATGAGCAGCACAGCCGTAGGTGGAGCCAGCTGACAGGCTCCAAAGGGAAAGTATCTTCTTTTAAACAACTTCCCCTTTGTCTTGCATTCCTTAGGATTAAGCTGGGCCCTGACAGCACTTATCCGTTTCAAAACACACCGTGCCCAGGAGGAGATGACAAGCAATCAATCATTATGCAAGCTGCCAATTCAGACTCCAGATTATTCGATGTTATTCAAATTTAGAGGATTTGGCAATGATGGCGTTACTAACACTGATGATTTTTGCTAGTCATGCTAAGGCCGTGATATGTTAAAGACTTTCCTATGAAATACGATGTCTTCATCTGGATTAAAGAAAAGATCTTGTCAACAAGTCGGTCTCAAATCACGCCTCACGGGAACAAAACCTTTACGGAGCCCTATTACAGAAATCCTAGAGCAGACTACCTGCTCAACTGTTTTTCTCGTTGCCACTGTACTAACACAACTACCCCAGGTCTGCACACAGGAGTAAACTGTTTTTACAGGGTTTACTATGTCACACTTTAGCTCCACAGATCCAACACGCAGAGTTTGGCACGTTAAATCTCCCTCTTATGAAGAAAGCTTGGCACTGGGCGATGGCGAGGAAAGTCAGATCAAGGCTGTCACTCTCCACTTCTGTTGCTGCTGCTTTTATCCCAGACTGTGGCGGGTGCCTAAATTGTCCACGGTTTCTAAGCTTCTTGGCTAACACTGCTTTCACCCCCAAGAGATCCTTTTAAATACTAATTAGGCTAATTAATAAGCAGTGAGAAGCCAGCCATAGCTTAAGCGTTTTTGGACTGTCCCCGCTGCTCTACTCTATACTTTCTATAGGGCACCTCAAGCATGAATAAATAAATCTGTTCTACCTTGTTAGAGCATTGCCTCTTTTTCCCTTTTTTAAAAACAATTAGTAATGTTGCCCCCACAAAGAAACAGGCGCAGACTGAAAACCAGGAAGTTACAGCACACCACCGCTTTCCAAGAACATTTTGGCTCCATTAGCTTATAAAAATTCGCAAGTAGTGCATGTCCCAGGAGCTCCCTTTGCACATTCCTGGACAATACGTTAAATATAAAAGCCCCAGACGCTCCAATTTCAGTGCTGAGCAGGCAAAGCTCCCTAGATTCAGCATCAGTGGAGAGTTTTGATTGCTTTCACTTCAGAACAACAGTTTTTTTTTCCTCAGCTTCATCATTTTTGTAACGCAGTTCAAAATTTAAAAACAAACCGAAAACATTTGAGCTGATCTAAGCACAGAACTGCTTACTGGGATGTTTCTCTTAATACTGAGGCCTCATCAAGAGATCTAACGTACGCATTGCACAGTAACAATCAATTATATAACAATATATAATATTCTGACATTTCAGAGCATTTTTGACATAGGGAAGAGCATTACCTCAGCTCTACAGAAAAAGACCTGCAGGCTCAGAGATTAAACCACTTCCCTGACATTGCACAACCCCCCAGCTGCATCAGGCGTCAGAGACACCTCCGGCCCCGAACACTGAGCTCGCCCCCTTCCCATCACAGCTCACGTTTCTGCGACCACCAGATCACACGTCTGAAGAGCTCCCTGGGAGCACATAAAAGACGCAGCTCCTCGATCCAGCGGCTTCTCTGGCACAAGCGATGGACTGGACTGAAACCCGCAGCCAGCTGCTTAACACGGCCATAAATAAAAGCTCCGACTAAAATCCACAGCCGAGTTGATACTCACAAGATCGTTGGGAGCTTTCTCTGTTCTCACGCAGGCACCGTGTGTGAATGGAGAAGATCCTTCTACAGAACTTCAGCATCTGCTTCAGAAGAGCGAGGAGGGATTCACAAACACTTTGCGCGTCTAAGAGTTAGCCGGGGTCTAAGATCTTCATTGTTCAGAGGACAGACTTCCTTTGAAAGTTTTAAAAAAGCTAAATTAAGTTGTGAACCTACTTAATAAAGTCACGTCGGTTTGCCAATAACAGTATTGCCACTGTTGTTAGAAGCTAGGGAAGTCAAAGCACTAACTTAAAAAGGGGCTAGAGGACTTAAATTCAGGATATAAGATTTACACATAGATACAACTTCTCTTAAATATATGGAAGCATCAATAGCTGTTAAGTTTTCCAAGCAGCCAGGAGCTGAAACTCCCGGACTCCTGACTGATCTGCTGGCATCGGGCAGCGATAGAGACCCTGGCCCAGAGTGACCCGGATCCGGCCTCTCCTCTGTGCTCCTGTATCCCCTCTCTCACCTACTTGGGATATAAACAACCCGGCCAAGGAACTGCCTCTCGCCAACCGCTTCCCTGTGCCCCCGGCCCAGAACATCCCCCGTCCCAGCTGACAACCAGGTCCCCGCCACGGTGCAGGTAAACAAAATTTGCGCCTTCCGTCTCCCAAACGAAGCACTGCAAGGGGGGAGCCCCGCCTGGGCAGCAAGCAGAGGCCCCTCTGCCTACCCTGGGCCCCCAGACATCCTCGAGACGGTGGGTTTTCGGGAGGAGAGAGGCTGG